CTCCACTACTGCCAATGGAAACTCATTCAACACGTCAATCACACTGTTAGAAAAACAAAACTACCTTAACTGGGTCTAGCACATCTTTCCAAATCTTTGCCTCATTTCCCTTTTATCCTATTGTTTTAAGATTACAAACAAAGAAATTGGAAGCCTTTATCCTTTTCATCCCTAAGATAATCTTATAAGCTCCAATAAATCACCTCCTACCCTTCTTTAAGTTAGAGATCTCAACCTATCATCTAAGATAATTCTTAGAATATTTCCTTCTACAGAAGACTAACTGGCCTAAACTTCCAGATCAACTCTTATCAGAAACTTTAAAAAAGAACTACAATTAGTAACTCTCATAACCTCAGGCACCTGCCCACTGCCTTATCAAAAACAAGAAAGGCTACAATATCTGATCTGCAATCACCTTTCAAACTTTGGAGAAGGCCTTCTCTGTTCCTGGTGCTTTATTTTTCTCTATGTACCACCAATGGATGAATATCAGGTAAATCAGAATATTTCCCACAGAATTTTCAGGTAGGAAATGATACCAACAACTTCTCTTGTAAAAACATAAGAGAATTGACCAATTAAAAACTCAACCATCTTAACTGAAGACCTTGCCTTTCTATAAGGGTTTACCATTGGTATACTTAAAAAATTATTTCTGTTAGTTTCAGCTGTTTTTCATAAGCCCTTTCTGATTTACTAACTTCTTTCTTAACCCTAACCTTCCTATAGTTCTGTAAATCTTATCTCTCAATTTAAACCTAACTTTACTCCTCTATTTATCTCTGATTTTCTATTTCCCAATCAGATTTGCTCTTCCTTGATATTCTTTTCTTTGTTTAAGGAACATGCCTATCTTATAGTAAATGAAATTTTCCTAAATCTGTTCCACATCACCTTTTAACTCATTATCCCAAGTTACCAAAGATAAATCTTGACTCGCGGCCTCAAAACTGGCTTTGTAAAAATTAAGAACTAAAATTCCTTTATTTTTATCCCAACATGTATCAAAATGTCAAGCCTAATTATGCAATGATGTGTATGCCAAATGGTTTCCCCACTTCAACTCTAACCACATCCTCATTAGTGGTTAACGATAAATCTAAAGTTGTATTTCCTCTTATTGGCTCTCTAAATCACTTCAAGAAACTTCTCTCTCTCAATATTTGAACTTACTCTATACAATCACAGTCAGTCTCCCACTATTATCAAAAACAATCCTGATATAAAACTTCTAACACATAAGCACAAAAAATCAGAGGATAGGATAAATTACCTATAAAGCACCCATTTAATTTCAGGTAGAACTAAGAGAAAAATAGTTTGCTGTTAGGTTCATAAAGCTGAATACTAAAACATTTTCAATTGTTACAGAAAAGGTTCGGATAATCTGGTGAATAGTTTAACTTTAAAATGTCCAGATGCATCAAAACAACTCAACTGTTCTACGAATTGTTTTATTACATTCCAAAAAAGAAAGAAAAAACTACTGGATAGAATACTATGAAACTCGAAAAACTTTCTACAAGTTATGTAACTTCTGCAAGATGTTAATTTTGTATTCGACATTTGTTTAAACTAGCAACGGAAAATTAGAAAATAATTTATTTTAATGTTTTTTTATGAAACAACTAAAAATGTTTATATTGTTGCAAGTTTCAATTATCAATTTTTAAGTTTTTCTTCATTCTTGTATGAACTTAAATTTTATCTTTGATTTGATTCTAAAAACATCTAATACACTTTCATTGTTTACTATCACTGTAGTAGAATACAAAACTTTTTTACTATACCAAAAATATAAGCAAGTCAATTTTTTTTTCCCCCAAATTAATCAGGTTTCATTTAACATGTAATACCTTTAAAACCAGTTTTACATTCCTTTATATATATCTTTTCATATCATTTATTTTGTGATTTTCTTTGCTTGTTCAAACAGTTACTTAGACTAATAAGGCCTAATGTAAACTCAGCTTAACAAACAGCAGCCTCGTCACCAAAATGAAATGTGAAGAAAGTCAACTGCAGATTGATCTAACTAAACCTATCTCATCTTGTTCCACAAAAACATATTCCAATCATATTTCAACCACACATCATAATTCAAATAGTGGCAGAAGTTGTTAACAAACATATTTTCTTCTAGTAATGTAACATCAAGCTAAGGTTCTCTCACTTTGTTCCCATTTCTATTTGATTCTCCACTGAACATGAAAAGAGCTTTTATTACTTGTTTGTATAACAAGCCTATGACTTCTCAAAGCCGATAAAGGCAACTTACATAACACCATGAAAATCGAGGTTAAG